TGCAGAATAGTCTCGATCGGCCATGTGTACGCTTTGTCTAGGTCCTCCTGTAACACTGTGTGATCCTCCATTGCAGCTATAGTGCGCCATACCTTTAGGTCATCAGCAAATAGCAAGCAGTTAGAAGATAGCACACTCGCGAGATCATTTATGAGGACCAGAAACAGGCGGGGTCCAAGTACCGAGCTCTGAGGTACGCCGCACTGAACTTCGATGGATTCTGATAGGTTGCTCCTAACCCTAACATTCAGGTGACGTTGTAGGAGAAAGTCTCCTATCCAGCCCAGAACAGGACCACCGATTCCATATTTCTGGAGTTTGTGGAGAAGAATGCGATGGTCTACGCGGTCGAATGTCTTTGAGAAATCCAAGTAGGCCGCGTCGATTCGAACACCAGCGTCCACAGATTCCGTCCAGTTTGCACGAGCAATCAAGAGATTAGTTGTACATGAGCGATTTCTGCGAAATCCATGCTGTTCCGGAACGAGAATTTGGTTGTTCTCCAGGTACCCCATTAAAGCCTCAGCTACAATGGACTCCATAACCTTGGAGATCACAGGAAGGAGTGTTATCGGGCGATAATTTGCTGGATCAGCACGACTGCCACTTTTGTAGATAGGCGTGATGATTCCGTGCTTCCACATCGTGAGGACGTGCATCTCGTTCAGACATCGTTGAAAGAAAATTGCTAATGGTCCTGCCAAACTCATGGCAGCAACTTTCAACGCCTTCGGTCGAATGCCATCCGCACCCGTCTCATGTTCTCACTATCAGAGTGCGTGGAAGCAGTCGCGAGCGATACAACACTAAAGATGATAACACGGACTGTGATGGATGCAGTTTGCGCAGAGCCAAGGAAGTAAAGGACAATCGAATGCCACGTACGGGAACTGACCATAGTGGGACAGGTTAAGTGGACAGGGAAGAATCGGTGCGCAATGGCATGAACAATGCTCTGCGTGAAGTCAGACATGGCAGATATAGAATGGATGAAACCCAGCGGAATAACTACGCGTATGGGCCGCTAAAACGAAAGCAAATGTCGTTGAGCACGACAACAAGAAAGGTCCAGTGGCAACTGCCATAATGGAGTAGGGTTTCACACTGATCTGTGGTTTGAATGTAACGGCATTTCATGGATAACAGATTCTGACCCCAATCACATTTACACTGATTATGATTGCGCAAAAACATTTTTTCTGAATGAAAGCGAACAGTAGTCCTTCTATAAATTGCGCATACTGAATGCAACACTAACATTCATTATTACTGTATGCTACTGATATTTTGAAAATCGACTATAAATTTCGCTTTTAACTTCTTTTAGCTGCATTTCGATAGGTCACATAGCGTAACCAAATTTCCATACAAAGAGACAGTTATTCTTATGCCGTCTACGCATGCTGAATTCAAACCTGACAGTTGTTTTTCTCCCTAATGTACATACTTTATGAAAAGAGACTATGAAAGGTTTTTAAAAGAAGTTTTTCCTATTGACACTCTGTGGTTCTCACAAATTCATCATCATCAACAGCAGCTGTACATGAGCCATTTGAACTGATGCTACGCTGCCATACAACCATGATGACCTATGAAATGACGAATAATAAAGGGAGAGAAGGAGTACTTACCTGAAAACCTTATTGCCCTAAGCAAACATTCAGGGTCAAGTCGGATACACCTTTTGTCAACAACATACCGTCACAAACAGCTGGCTATCGTGCAACTTCACTATGGAACAAATTTATTGAGTAGCCGACAGGAACTGCTCAATATATCTTGTCATTATACAATAAAACACACTTGAGACCACGTATTGAACTATCCAAATTAATCTCTAGTCTCGTGGATCATACAAGACAATCCCCAATTGCAATTAGATGCCTGAAATATCACGGCAAGAAACAAAATGCCTGTCTTCCGAAAAATGGTCAGGAAGGTTTCATCGTGTTTTCAGAAGAAGGAAAATTTTGTTTTGTCCATTAGCTGTTCTGTTCTCGTACCCTAGAGACTACTAACTCATCCGTTCTGTTGGCAAACTCCAGCTCACGCACTAAGTCATTCAATTCTTGTTGACGGAATTGCTACGGAGCTGATGACAGTTCAGCATCAGTTGCCGTCTTCATAAGTCGAAGCCCATTCATATAACTGGATCCCATCTTCATGCCCACTGATTGCATAAGCTGATGAAGCAAACCCTATAAGTTTTGGAACCGGTAGCTCTTCAGAGTGTGGAATGGGTCTAAGTACAAAGGATCTACGGAGATAAAATATCTTATGCCGATTTTTCTTGCCACTGCCTTCTATATTTACCATGCAAAATAGCAGTCTACTACCATGTGGTTCTTAGGTTCTCGTCTAACCGTGGAAACTCCAAATCGCAGGCATTTGTGTTTGCCTTTTGTCCAGTCAGAAAGCATTTCCCCGCAATAATGGCATACAATGTGAGCTGTCTACTTCTTGTCATGATCGCCAAAGGGTGTTTTATAGACACATTTTACAAACGAAGTGATATTTCTCCTTTGACCAACTAGTGTATAATAGCCGAACATATAGCAAAATTCATTAGATTCATTTGCGCATTTATTTCGACCTAAGTGAATCATGGTCATACACGAAAAGAAAGTGGATTGGTGTTTAATTTTCTATTTATGTGAAATATCAAAATGCGTGAAGACTAGAGTATGCAGAAAAAAGGACCAGTTTCAGATTTGGAATCAGCATTGGAATTTCGTGTAGAATCACTTAAAAAGCTCTCGAAACAGGAAGTTGAAAAGATTGTGTTTCCTTGTGTTATCGGTGAGCCGCACGACATCTATGTTACAAGGATGTGTCTTTCGGGGTTTCCGCATGTTTCAGCGAAATCGGTACCTTTCTTTCTACTTGATCAAGATCATCTGAGAGATAAAAACGACAACGGACCAGATTACGGCTCAGAACCAGATGCATATTCTATACGCACTTAAATTGCAGTGCTAGAAATTCCACTCACACATACTTGTGCGCTACGGAGGGAGAACGACAAAATTTAACCCTACAAAAAGTCATCATAGATGCCATTTTCTTGGGTACCCACACAACGTTGTGCGGAGTCATTGTTCTACGAGGAACTCAAGGGACGAAGTAAGAAGCATTTGTATTTAGCTTGAGGAAGTTGTGCATACCCTGTTGG